AGTGGGAAGCAAGAAGTCAGCTAATGAACTGCTATTAATTAACTGCTATATATGTACCCCACCCCCCACACACATGACGAAAGCTTAAGTCAAAGTTTAAGGGCTAATGATAAATATAATAAAGTCTGTAACTTGAAAAACAATATTCTCAAAAATACCATTTATAGAGACTATTCTATTCTGCTAACAAACTTTTGCAAACTTACATCATATCTCTCAGTGAAATTCGAATTTCGTTATTGGCTATCCACATAGTTTTTACTCAAAATTGAAAGAAATGGTCCAATTATTTTTATAATTGTGGCCAATCAATACATTTTAAAGATTCTCAATGTATAATGATAAATGTATGACAAATAGAACATCACATTTCTGATGAAAGCCCTATGAGGAAAACTCGATGATCTTAAACGCGTAAACCTTCGCCGGGAGCAAGCAATGCGGCTGGATCTATTTGAGGGCAAAAGGAATTGTCGTTTGGGGGTTGACCGTTCACCTATGTTTCTGGGGATGAGTCTTCAGGACACTCAACAATGAGCGGAGAATTCTCTTCCGTTCCAGGCCCGAAAGAAACTTGGAAGGAATGACAGGGACTCGCGAACATAATTCCGCTGATTACCAAAATAGTTAGCAAGCTTCCCGTCACCATTATAGACCCAACAACGCTGATTGACATTTGAGGAATAAACAAAGTGGTAATGAGAGTGCGAGCTACTGAGTCAGACACAAAGATTGATGTGTTGATATAACCCAAGGGTAGATAAGTGAGATTGCGCAGCTTGGCCAATTCATTGAAATTCTTATTTCGGGCGACAATTGCATTGATTTGGATGAGTTGAAGAGCTTGCAAAACTATTCCTGTTTGCGGCTCGATAAAAAGTGATATATCCATATCGCTTCTAGGATGCATTCCAATAACTGCATCTCGGTAACTTTGATCAGCCTAAAATAGTGATAGGTTAATGAGAATATTTGGAATAAAATTAAACATTTTAATATCCTGATATGAAGTTTTCCACTAGAGACACCGAAATTACGAAACCACTATAACACTGTAATATTTGACGACAAGGGGTGTGCTATGAAGCCCGAAGTCAGCTAAATGGCTAATGTAGCTATCAAAACGCCTGCCATTTGAAATAAATATTTGGCGGCAATACAACGAATTTTGACGAATACAAGGTATTTCAAAATAAAGTAATCAACAATCCAAATCACATGGAATTTATCATTCACGCTTACAACAAATTCGTATTAACGTAATAGCTCAGTAGTTTCTGAGTTATAATCAGATATATCAGGCCATGGGAGCGTGTGGATAACGCAATCCTAACTCGATTGAAATGCGCACCCGAACATTCTGGAAAGTGCGATTATGCATGTAGAGGACTTCTCATATAGTCAGCCATTAGGGTTCATTCGAATTATGATGGATGTACTCGGTTACTGACCATGTTTGCTGAGATCATGATTTCAATAAACGCTTCACTTGCAGTACGTCTTCTGTCATTTCGATGGTTCAAGTTCGGGAGCCTTTCCAAACTAGGAGAACTTGCCATAGAGATGACTGAAGATAATTCAGAGCCTATTTTTGTAGAAGTCCGCTACGAACACAACGAAGACTGAGGATCATTATTACATAACGCGATGAGAAAGCCGTCTACGTTTCAACATACCACTTCATTCTAATGGCACAAATCAAAGGCAAAAATATCTACAGTCTAACCAATCTTTCAGAAAATTTGCTTTATATTGTCGAAATATTCCAGATCGAAGATGATTACCAACAAATATCCACCATGACAAAGAGAAGCTGATACAAAATAAGCAAAAATTTTCACAAAATAAACCTAGAGTTTAACAGAGAGATATGAAAACTGCCAACCCCACTAAACCTTAGACCTTAAACCTTGGAGATTTATTAAGACCAGAATTCGGTTGCAACCTAGGTAGGTA